TGTGGAGATCCTTCTTCCTATCCCTGTACTGTTCCACCATCCTCCTAATAAGGTGGATAGCTTCTGCGGTAGATCGCCCCGGCATGAACCCGAACTGGTTGTCTGAAGTAGACACCGTCCTTCGCACTCTCATTTCTACCACTCTCTCCCAAACTTTCATGGTATGACTTAGTAATTTGATGCCCCTATAGTTGTTACAACTCTGGACATCACCTTTGTTCTTATACAACGGAACCATTGTACTCCACCTCCACTCTTCAGGCATCCTATTAATCTTGAATATAACACTAAACAATCGAGTAAGCCATTCCAAGCCTGCTCTACCCACACACCTCCAANTCACTTCTAGTTTCAGGCAGTGCTCAAACATGTTTTGATGATCTGGTAAATTTAGCAGTATGTTCATGTACAGTTTAATGATCTTTAATAGTCCCCGGATGACTGATTGGGTGATGTATATTTCCTTGTTAATTCTCAGCTATTAGAGAATCACATAAAAAGTGAAATCATTGGAAACAGTGAACTGGTTCATGCACTGCCAAGTGATGAGGAAAATAGACCACCTACATCTGAGCCTCGGAGATCAATGTCAGTAGCTTGTGGGTCAGAAGTATTTGAAGTTTGCATGAAGGTTCCTACATGGGCTTCACAGGTTCTTAATTTACACTGCTTTTTTGTTTCTCTTTTTTTGTCCCTTGCTAAATTTTCTTGAGAGATACCCCCTTGAGAAGATGCGGGAATCCAATCAATTTGTCTCCAGGTTTTCCTTGAACATATTGGTTAATTTAACCAGTATACATGATTTTACTAAGTTCCCTATCTCTCCTCTTCATCTTTGTTCTTATAAAAGTTCCCTCTGCTTAGTATGTTAGAGGATAAGTCTATAATTTGATGGTGGATAGTCTAAATTACTTGGCTCCACACCACGTTTTAATGTATTGGCTTATCTAGCCATTGTTGTTCTTCTAAGTTTCCTTAGTCAGCTCTTCATAGTTGTACCAGCAAAGGATTGTGTGCTGAAAATAATAACGTACAAGACGGGCGTATACTTGGATACTGGATTGGAGGCTCTGTTATTTCTTTGATTTGTAAATGTTGTATGCTATTTGTTGCACTATTGGAAAAGCTTCTCTCTTTCTTTTAATCAGGGATCACTATTAGTTCTCATATTTTCATTATGATGGTGTTTACTACCTGCTTAAGTTTTTAGTTATCCTTTATAACTTGCTTCTTCATGCTCTGTTCTTTCAGATCTTAAGGCAATTGGCTCCTGATGTTTCATATCGTAGTTTAGTTGCACTTGGCATAGCTAGCATTCAGGGATTAGCTGTAGCTTCATTTGAGAAAGATGATGCTGAACGGCTTCTTTTCTTCTGCACAAAGCAAGGGAAGGAGGATGGGTTTTCCTACAACTTTAAGATTGGCAATCCTCCATCATGGTTAAGACCGCCTGCTCCTAGCAGAAAAAGGCCTAATGTATATCAAGAAACAAGTGCTATTTGGCGAAATGGTTTAGCATCTGGAAATCATGTGGCTGTGAAAGAAGAGATTGAAAGTAGATTAGGGAATGGTTTTGCAACCCCTCTGGTGACTGCTAGACAAAAACTCAAAGTTGCTGCTATGAGGCCCATTCCTCATGTTCGTCATCAAAAGATGCTACCCTTTTCAGGGATTTCAGCGGTGGAGAGCCTTGACGGGAACCAGGTGAAAACTAATCTGCCCATCATTCCTTCCTCTGCTAAGGGCAGCAGTGTTGGAGTAATTCCTGTTGCCCATCGGAAGTCAGCATCAAGCTCACATCAGGCTAAGCAAATTATATCCTTGAATCCTCTTCCACTGAAGAAACATGGTTGTGAGCGAAGTCCAATACACGTGTGTTCTGAGGTAAGATAAGGTTTTCCGTTCACATAAATTTTCATGCATAACTTTGCTTAAGGAATCTGATTCCTGTGTTGGATGATGTCATTTATCTGATCTTACCTATTTAACCTGAATTCTTGAAAATAGACTGAACCGTGTGTAAATAATTGATTTCAGAACTCTTTTATCTGTTTTTACAGCCTCAATGAAAAATAAGTTGTGGATTTCAAACATTAGATTTGCGAAGCTTGTCATCTTTCGATGATAATTTGCTACATCCATTTTAGAATATGTGATGTATCCGCCTTACAGGAATTTTTTTCAATCTGTCAGAAGTACTGCTTTTTTGGGAACTTTTTGTAGTCCTTTAAGATGAGAATCCATTGACACAAGCTTATGGAATCAAGTTATTTTGTTTGCATTACCTGATAGAGGTTTTCCTTTAACACCAAGTGCTTTAAAAATATATACTACATCCCGAATGCCTCTTTTTCACTTCATTCTACTGATTGTATTATCACCGTATGGATAATTGTATCAGTTTTTCATGTTCTCTTTCTCTCCCCGGCCTATTTACAGGAGGAATTTCTGAAAGATGTAATGCAGTTTTTAATTCTTCGTGGACACACTCGTCTCATTCCTCAAGGTGGCCTTGCTGAGTTTCCAGATGCGATTCTCAATGCCAAACGCCTTGACCTCTTTAACTTGTATAGGGAGGTGAGATTTCTTGTTTTTCCTTTTTTGCTTATTATGGGGAACTGTCAGAAATCTGCAAGCATGCATAGCAATATATTTCGTACTGCCTTGCAGAAAAAATGACAAGAATATCAAACATCATCGTCGTAATTTGTAAATTTCTTCAGGTGGTTTCGAGGGGTGGTTTTCATGTTGGCAATGGCATCAATTGGAAAGGACAAGTTTTCTCAAAAATGCGAAATCACACAGTAACCAATAGGATGACGGTAAGCCCTCTTACTCAATATGACATATCGTAACCTGTTCTATTCCAAGAACAACTTCTTGACTAAGCATGTTTCTCTCTCTGAACCAAAGGGTGTATTAGTGGTAGCTACTTGTAAACCTTAAAATTGTCTGGGATGTGACCCTACTTCTTTCATAAACTCGGACCTGGTTGAGAGAAATGTATGTTTGCTTATGTTCAAGTTTTGTGGATGCCTTGTACTTCCGCATATGAACTATGTTACTGGAGGATCTTTACCTTCTCATTTTCAATTTGGTATTTTTTGTATTCCTGTGGAAACTTGAACAGCTCTTTTAACACAATAACTTCTTGAACCCAGGGTGTTGGGAATACACTTAAAAGACATTACGAGACTTATCTTTTGGAGTACGAATTGGCCCATGATGATGTGGATGGAGAGTGCTGCTTGTTATGTCACAGGTCAATTCCCTTTCGTTTTGCTTTTCTATGATGCAAGTTGTCAAATGTCTCTTTGCTGGCTGTTAATGGTTATCTGACATGATGTTTCTTGCGTTCCTCCAGTAGTGCTGCTGGAGATTGGGTTAACTGTGGGATTTGTGGTGAGTGGGCGCATTTTGGCTGTGACAGAAGACCAGGTCTTGGTGCCTTCAAGGTACTGTATTTACCTCCGTCACCTCTTTTGTCTAAACCTTTTTAAGAGGAGTTCTGATGTGAAGTATGGTTTCTTTCGTCTTGTTTTTTTTTGGCAGGACTATGCAAAGACAGATGGACTGGAATACATATGTCCGCAATGCAGCGTTACAAATTTTAAGAAGAAGATGCAGAAAACTACGAATGGATATTCCTGAGCCTAAGCCTAATGGCTTCATTACCACAATTATTGGGTTCTGCTGATCCCAACTCATTTTATACATCTTAGAACATCATCTGTTTTTTGCTGTGAAATTAGTTGAGCTTGTATTACATAGGCATTAGCTGTGTTCTGGATGGACAGAGAGACACATATACTGAAGAGAAGTGAAAAGGCCAAAAGAAATTGGAAGGCGGAGACGGGGAAGTGCTGCTGTTATTAGGAAGAGTTATAGAGATATAGGGAAAGAGATGAAGTCTGGAGGGGGATGTGGGTTAAGACTGCAGGCTAATGAGGCTGCATCTCATGGCAAGTCTTTGTAATATATAATCCTCCTTTGAGAGGGAGGATATGACATGTAGCTTTCTTGGTGGAATTAATTTTTCTAAAGTTCCACAAGTCTCTGCACAGCATCTACATTTTCAAGTCTCTGTTTGTTTATTTATTTTGATCATTTGAAATTCTCATAGGATGCAAGTGAGAATACAAGTAGTAAGTTTAGTTTTGAAGTAGCATAGTAACAGCGCAGACTAGTCATTTTTTGGCTATGTAATTGAAAAATAGTCGATGTTACGGAAGTTTTAACATTTACAAGTGAAATTCCATGAATACTATTCTGGAGTTTCACATGTAGAAATTTGCATCTCCATGACAATGTCTATTCGTTAATTTCAGGGGCTGAAACTCATTATTCATTCATCATTTGAGGGGTTGGTATTAATGTAATCCTTTGAGCGTACTGTCTAACATAAGAAAAATTATTTGACTACTAGCTAAATATTATTTTTTTTTTCCAAAAATTCCTCCCAATTTAGGAGGATCTATAGTGTTTCCACACTTCTCCTTCAGTGTGACCCGAATCTAGGACCTAACGATCGTGAGTGGGGGTGCTTTACCAACTGAGCAAGTGTCACTTGTGTTGGTTGAGCTAATTGACTTTACGGTGATTTAGCAAGAAAGTTTGGCTCTCAAATTTTTGGGACAGTATTTTGACTCTACAAATAATGATAAAGATCTCTTAGTTGATAGAGATCTTAGAGAGCTAGTGGTAGAGGCTAGGAGAGTGAAGGACAAACTGGTGGCTATTAAGATAGTTGTGGGAGGATCTACTTTGAACGTAATTAGTGCCTACGCACCTCACCTGGGTTTGGACGAGGAGGTCAAAAGGTATTGCTGGGAGGACNTTCTAGGAGGACTTGGATGGGCTAGTGCGGGAAATTCTACGCACCGAGAAGCTTATCATAGGAGGAGATTTTAATGGTCGCATTGGGGCGTCGTCTGGGGTATGACTGTGTACATGGCGGTTTCGATTTTGGAGACAGGAACGGAGGAGGAATTTCGCTGTTCGATTGTGCTAAAGCCTTTGATTTGGTGGTTGTTAATTCGTGTTTCTCCAAGAAGGAGGATGTCACGACCCAAAATCCGTTAAAGGTCGTGATGGCGTCGGACACCACTGTCAGACAAGCCAACACTAAATAGTTAATTAATTTCTCATTTTAATACTTTTTGAAATTATAAATTTCCTTCAATTTAACTAGTAAAATATGAACTTTACAAAATAAATAATAATGTTTTCCACTTTCGATACTGCACACCCTATAATCATCCCAGAACCAGGTGTCACAAGTGCATGGGCATTTACTAGGAAATAAAATAAAATACAATAACTGTCTGGAATACAAATTTGGACAGAAAAGATAATACAAGTACTCTAAAAGAAACTCTGCTGGCTGCAGATCGTCTCATAAGATACAGCTCACCTAGTCCTCGTATCAACCACGCCGCTGCGCCCACAGGGCCACTAGACTTACGTGTGCCTATACAACAAAATGTATAACAGGTGTAGTATGAGTACGAAAATAACGCGTACCCAGTTATCCAATCTAATCTCGAAGAAGTAGTAATGAGAGGTCGACTCCGAGTCCTCTGTACTGGCGGGGACCTCAGACTGGTCTCCGGCCTGCTGTTGCTGTGCTGCTGGGATAGATGCCTGCTCAAGAACTGACTCATCAACTAATGGGGCAGTAGAGGGACTCTCCTGAACTGGTGCTACCTCAATCACAACTCCCTTAGTGCTAGGGAGTTTCCTCTTCTTCCTCGGCCTCTACTCCTCCTCTTGTACCTGTGCAGCTGCTGGCTCTACAGCCGGGTCCCCAAATAGTAAATCAAGTGGCAACTGATCCGCCATGAGCTTGTCCACATCCACTCTCAGCTGTGTCACTGACTCCTTGGAAGCCTTCTGCTTCCTCAGCTTCTTGTGCTCTCGAGCCAATTTCTCCAATGCTTTGCCATGTGCCCCAACCGCCTTAGTCAAGGCATCCTGCGTCGCCATTATCTTTTCCTGGTTGGCCAGGATCTTCTTCAATGCATCCTCAATGGAGGAAGGAATCTCAACAGTAGCTGGCGCTTCCTGTGCCTGTACAACAGTGGTCAATGTACACAACTTGGATGTCGCAACTAACATCCAGTTGTTCAAACTGGCAAGGGAATAGGTGAGCTGGTTTGCGGTGAACTGGTGAGTCTTTGATGAAGGAACTACCGGGTCAGCTGCAATAGAAGAACCAGCTGCTGACGATGGACCTGGAGGCAATGCCTTATCCGTGGCAGGAATGGTGGAAGGCTCACTGGGCTGCTCAATGACCGTTGGCTTCTCAGACTGGCCAGGTGCGGTGGAAGTGGATGCCACATTTTTCTTGCCCCTCTTCGGGTTGTCCCGACCCAACTGACTATACCATGAGTACGGGACCACCGGAGGTACCTTGACATCATATTTCTTTTTCTTCACCTTCAATTCTCTGAAGTACAAAGAGAGTGTATTCGGGAAGGGGTAGTTTGTTTGGGTCTCATTACCCACTGTAGAAATCACTCTCGACATAATATTACCCACATTCAGAGGGAAGCCCGCCATGATAGATGCTACCAAGACAGCACGAGGGAGGGGAATGGAGTGATCATGTGTAGACGGGTCAAGTCGACTACACACGAAAGTCAACCACCCTTTGGCTTCAAAGTTCAGGGTGTTCCGAAAGATCTTTTCTTGTGCTTTCAACCAGACTGGGACTGTACCCGGGGCTGCCAAGTGCTCGGCCAACCAAGGACGAACCTCCTCTTTCATTGCTAGCTTTTCTAAATATTGCGATTCATCCTCTTCTCCGAACCCCAGGAATTCATTCAACGATTTGCCATCAAACACCACTATCTTGTCCCTCACTTTAGTTACTTTTGAGTCCCGAACTATATGGTGAACATTGCTGTAGAACTCTTTCACCATATGCTCATTCGCCATTTCAACACGTTCTTTGAAGAAGCCCCAAACCTCCCTAGTGCGGAATTGTGCTTGCACGTGAGGGTTGAGAGGGACAAGATCGGCATCTATGAACTTCCTCTCCAGAATAAGTTTCCTTCTGGGCCACCACTCTCGGAATCTGTGGAAAGCAACCTCACTAACAAACCTATCTGCCCATGCCTCCGGTTTTCTAGTACGCTCAATCCCCCCGACCTGTGGCTCACCTCCCTCAGCATATCCTCCACTCTCCCCTGATAATGAAGCTATGGGAGATGTGGAGTATTGCTCTTCCTCTCTTGCTACGGACTCATCAGACTAGTCCGAGATGACATTAACCAGCTTCTTGGAGGAGGCTACATTATCATGATCCGGGGAAGGGGAATCACGGAGCTGAAATGAAGTGGACATGTGGGTGGGGGCAGATTCTGAGGTAATGCTCCGTGAAGGTGCATACTCACTCCCTGTGGAATGAGATGCAGCTCTATCAGCTACCCGGATTATCTTCCGGGTTTTCTTTATCAATTCCCTGGTTTGAGGAGTGAGTTTCACAATCCACCTGCTTTTCCCTCCTCGGGAGGAACCCCCTCTCCCGGGTTGTATTTCTTTGCCCGCTCGTTTTTTAGCCACTCGTTTTTGAACCATTGTCTGCAAGGAATACATGTCTAACATTGTTAGTAGAAGCACATAAGGTGAAGTAGACAGTTCATTTAAATGAAAAGAGTGCAGACACAGTTACACAGGCAGAGGGGCGCGGACCGCACCAAAAGGCACGCGGTCCGTGCAGTATACTAACACCAACACATACCTCTCTGAATAAACCGACGCGGTCCGCACAGAAATGGTACGCGGTCGCGTTGGTTCAGCGCGGACTGCACAAAAATGGTACGCGGTCCGCGCAGGTGAAATACCAAAACGTTGACCTCTCTGAACTCTACACACGTGGACCGCACTATTTTGGTACGCGGTTCGCGCAGGTGAAGTACCCAAATGTTGACCTCTCTGAACTCTTCACACGCGGTCCGCACTGTTTTGGACCGCGGCCGTGCTAGGCTCACGCGGACCGCACAAAAATGGTCCGCGGTCTACGCAGAGAGGTTCATCATCTCTTTACCAGAGTCACGCGGACCGCGCACAAATGCTGCGCGGCAGCGTAGGGATAATTTAACTGAGCCGGGTATTTGTTCAAATAAATCCAATTTTTGTTCACCTTCTTGGGTCCTAAGTGTCCCTACTCAGTTATTTAACAAGATTTCATGCCCATGATTAAACAAAAACACACAAAAATCTAATCTAACAGTTAAACTAAGAGGAAAAAGATGAAAGTAAGAAGTTACACTAGTGGAGAGCAATTAAACAAGACAAAAATTAGACTATGATTAAAATGAATGAGAGTTGTTACCAGGGATTAATGAGATTTCAACGATGTGCACACTTAATGTTGATGAACAGTGGAAATTATATCTCAAGTGTAAAATTGGCGAAAAGGTTAAAATGAGGTCCAAGGCCTCTATTTATAGAAAAACACTGGGACCCAGTACCCACCTACCAGCGCGGCCGCACAGAAATGGACGCGGACCGCGCTGGATTTTGCATCTTTCACTTTAGCTGTTCAATCCACACGGACCGCACTGTTTTGGTGCACGCCGCGTGGGACTTTGTCAGAGACTTGGTACTTCTTGGTCCTCCAGCGCGGACCGCATAGAAATGTCATGCGGCCGCGCTGGGTCTTCTGGGTCTTAGCCTTTCAGCTGCTCACACCTACGCGGACTGCACTGTTTTGCTGCGTGGCCGCGTAGGCCATATTCAGAGACTGACCATTTTTTCCCTGCACTGGTTCAACATTATCCCTGCAACACTTCACAAATTATCAGCTCAAAAATCCTACTCTACAACAGAAAAACAAAGAAAAAGAAAAAGACATGAGTTGCCTCCCAAGAAGCGCCTGATTTAACATTGCGACACGACGCATGTTACCATCACAGTCATTTCAAATGAATGAGTTCCACCACGTGGCTGTCATCAATCTTTCCTAAATAGTGCTTGACACGATGCCCATTGACCCGAAAAACTTCACCATTCTTATTTTTGAGA